TGAGACCTTGCCTGTTGAGGAGCAAGAAGGATGAAAACATTGTATAGAGAATCATCATCATCCATGCATAGACTTTGGAATTCCTGACTGTTGATATATATACTCCATCCCTGAAGCAAAGCATTTGTGAAAAGAATGAAACTCTGGATGAAGTGGCAGTAGAGGAACCCAAATTGTAGTAGCATCCCAACTTAACCCCTTGAGATCAAAGAATGATCTAAACTTAGGAAACAAGGAAATAAATGTGTATAATCCCTGTTCATTTAAAGACCAATAAAAGGATCACTAGTGTTCTTGTCCCAAAGACATGAAGGATTTGAGTGATGCCCACAATCCGAGAAGAGAAAGAACCATCCGTGCAGTGGGAGAAAGAGAGGTGAGTAAGAATGTGACATCCTATACTATAGTGTTAAGCAGGATGAGACCAACTGAGAGATGAGATGAAAAATAAAAACTACCCAGACTGATGACATATAGAATTGGAGCAAGAATAGATGTTTCAGTCCCAAAAGAGAAGCCTACCTGGGTTGTATCTGAAAGTAGAATCAGAATGTGATGGTCTAACAATTGACAAGATGTTACCAGCAGTAACCAGTCATCCATGGAGTGGTGTATGCACAGTATGATGAAATGATGGGGACGAGAAAACTCGTATGATACAGCAGAACCAATGTTAAGCTTGTGTGAGTCTAAAGGAAAAAAACCCGGAACTGCAGTACCTGACCCTTGTGCACCACAAATGCCAATATTGGTGGGACTCCACTGCTAAGCCAAAGTACAGATTGAGCCAACTACAACCAAGTTGGACATCTACAATCCCAGTAAAAAAATCAACACAAATTGAGGAATGATTAGCTTGTGAACCTTGAGGAATCTAGGCATTGGTATAGACAAGGAAGATCGATGACTGGACACCAATCTCCTGTCTTCATAAGCCCAACAACTAACATGAATCAAAACTCACTAATCCCAGACCAAGATAACCCTAGAACTAAGTTCCAAATCCCGATGAACTGAGTAAGATGGAAACCCTACAGGTTGGGTGGATAATAGTGGGGAAGATAGGTAATGAACAACCAATTTTGACCCAAGTCCTGCAGAACTTGTGAACCAATAGTTAAGATTACCACATATCCATAAGTTCTTGGAGCCAAGCCTCCACAGCTCCTGAAGGTATCAAATAATCACTGACCCTGCTAGTAATCCGACTAAGCAGTGGAAACCTTGGATATAGACAGAATCTATTCTGAGTACTAATGTACCAAGGAGCTGAAGTCGGGGATCGGTACTCACAAATAGGGGCAGAACCATGACCTCCCTGTAGGAGCCTATGAAATTCAAGACTCCATAAACAACTGGGAGGAATGTACGAGCCAAAAATTAAACCAAACATGCATGCTAAAAATGGGTCCAGCTCGTCCTCAATGAAACTGGTAGTCCTAGGATTCTAGTAACAAGGTGAAGTGAAAGGAAATAAATTGTTGAAGCTGAATAGTAAATTCCCATCAGGGGACATAAACCTATATAGATGAACTACAAACTTATTTGAGAGTCAGAAATATGTCTCCACCTAGTGGTGGTAGGCAAAATCACAAATTTCTGACAACATGTTGGATAAGGCCTAACTGTCCCTTCACAAAATTAAAAGGAAATCTTCCAGTATGAACCACAATTTCCATGTATGGAAAAAAAAAAAAATCGCTCTCAGACCTATCAGCCATCAATTAAGTTGCAGGCTCAAAAGCAACTGTGAAAAAGCCCAAAACATCAAACTCGAAGAACCACCATGAGAAAAACAGATCAAAAGCAGCTTATCCCAAAGTGGCTTCCTTTTTGTTTTTCATAGGTCGTTTAAAGACCATGGTAAAGTAATTGTTTTGTTAGACTAAAGCAACTGTGGGCCACCTGCCACATCCACCTTGGGGAATCAAACCCCGGACACCAACGATGCGAGTCCATAAACTTACCACTGACCCAACACACTAAAAGAAGGCACAGGAAAAAGCAAATCTAAAGTGTGTCAAGGATTGTCCTCAAATGTAGCCTCAGAGCCCCCAGGAGGACCACCACAGATCTGAATATATGGCTCCATCTCACTACGAATAAAATCACTGAGTTTCAACTGAGAGTGAAGATTGTTGTGCAATGCTAGATATCATAGGTGGGAGAGGAGTGACCCAATTGGACTCCATGCCAGAAATTCATACCATAATTGGCTTGTCAGTCAGTAGAAAAAAAATTTTAATTATTATTAATGTTGTTATGATTGGTTTGTTCGTTTTTAATTTCACAAAGATACACAAAGGCTATCTGCACTAGCTAGTCATCACCACCCACTGCCAACTCTTGGGCTACTCTTTCACCAACAAATATTGAGAGTGACAATCACATTATAATGCCACATGGCTGAAAGGGAGAGCATATTTGGTGGGACGGGGATTCGAAACCGCTTCCCTCAGATTGCAAGTCAAGTACCCTAACCACCTGGCCATGTCAGGCCAATATTGTTATGAAATCAACTAGATAACACAATAACATTCAAAGTATCTCCATATTTTTATAGATTTCAAAGATGCATTTTGGAAATCCAAAAAAATTATCAAACATATAAACTGGTACACATAAAATCACTGTAATTTTTTGACTTTCTAACTATGCTATATGTGAGTTTAAAAAAAATCTCATTTCTGCTCATAGAAACAACTTAGTTAACAAACTTCAACATTTCCAGTAAAAGTCTGGCTTTTCCTTCAAGCTGTCAGATTTAGGTAGTTTGGAATGTGCTCTTTATACTGATTATAAACATGTAGTAGTGGGAGGGGCTACTATGGTAGGTTTCCTAAATGTACTGATATCTCAGCAAATCAAAATGAAAGATTCTTATTTATATTCTAGCTGTGTCTGAAATTTAAGTTTTTAATTCTTTAACCACTATAGTCATTGTATGGTAGGCATAATATAATATAAACTAACTAATAAGACAAAAGAACATGCAATGTGACACACAGGAAAGGATATCTAGCATTTTGTTTTTAATAGTTTCTTTCTAATTAAGAACTTAAAACATATATAATATTAAAATTTGAATTACGAACTATGTTTAGATGACAATTTTATTGACATACATTGGTAATACAATTGTTTAATTAAATTTTGAAAATAACTATCTAAAATGTTGTGACATGTGCCCTTTGTCCTGTCTGTAGTGAGAGGTTTAATAGAGATTTGAACTCTTTGCCATATGTGGAATCTGAACTGCTCACCAGTGTGGCCAAATCTGAGCTAGTTTTCAGGATAGGAGGGAGTAAAACTCATACTCCAATCTATTACTACACACAAAAAAACAGTAGTGGATGAACATGTTAGACAATACAAGAACTAGTTTCTCAGCTCTTTGAAGCTGCTTTCTGTGACATTTTCATGAGTTCTGTTGAGAAAGATAGCCAGGGAAGGCTCAACAAAGCTTATTTGCCACTTTAAGGTGGTTTAATGCTGTATCTGCTTGAACATGAACCCTTCTGGAGGAACACAGTCTTCCCAACCCCTAAACTCTGCATCTTTGTGGATAAACACTACTGAGAAGCAAGTTTTTCAGACATGAGCCTAGGTTAAAAAAGAAATCTCTGAACAATACATCCTGGGACTAAACCTATAAAGGCTGCAGATCTGAGGGCTGCATGAGTCCCCTGGAAACTTTAGCTCTCCAGATATTCTATGGTGCTATATGGGCATATTGGAAGTTCATTTAGCAGTTTGAAAGTTGAAATAAAACACTCACTAAACAGCAAAATAAGTATATCCATTCATTTAAAGCATGATGTACTGCCAACACTAGTAATATGCTATGCAATATTATGCCTAGGTCTGCAGCAGATCTAGACTTAGGAACTACAATGAAATGTTTATTTTTAAACATTATAATAATTTATTTTGTAGACATGTACCTTTCTAATGAAGTCACCCAGAATGCTCTCAATGGGATTGTTTTTCCATTGAAACTCAGACAATATTTTTTTGATATCGTTAACTTTTTCTCAAGCTACACCCAAATCCATTTATTCTTCACTGACACTTCTCTTTCCTGTAGTGTGTTTTTTTAACCTTGATTGATGCATTGTCAATATTGATATTACCATTCAGTAATTTTTACCAAACTTATATGTTTGGAAAACAACAGTGGCTCAAGTTTGGGAAATGGCAAATACTCCTGGCATTCCGGCAACAAGTGGTGAAAACATGTCCATAGACTGAAACAGTCAAATGGTCAGCAGAATGCACTCCCATTTGAGATCTGTGTTCTGACTGGCTTTTCTACAGAGATCAGCTTCTGAAAATGTTCTAAGTACCTAAAAGTCAATCATTGTACTTGCACTAAGATACATGATAGATGCAAACAGATATTTGCAGCCACAATTCCTACATCATTAATATTTATCACCCGAGCCAAACCTATCTAAAGTATACACAAAATAAAATTTGTAGCATTCCACAAAATCCTGGAAAAAGCTCCTATCTGGTTCTTTTGATAGTAAAATGTATTTTTATGAGGTTGAAAGATTATTATTGGAACAAATTTTTCTTGCCTGTCACTTGAATGAAACCATGACACACTTTTGTAGCCAACCTAATCTGCCAAATTCAGTCTCACTGGTTTGCAGGCTGGGTGTTAAGCAAAAAAATGATAACATCTTTAAATAATATATATTACTCTGTTTCAGTGCAATTCTTCTTTTTTTTTTATGATGTGGCTATTAAACTGATAATAACTATGCATATTGATGATAGAGCAGTACACCAGGACAAATAGTTCGCCTACAATTAATCATAATCTGAGACATAATAAAACTATAAACATCCTAGTAAAAATTGTATTTGAAATGATTATGTACTACACTAAACTTAACCTGTTTTCTTAATAAAATATTTGACTGTATTAAAATGATGTACAAAATTTCTTCCTATTAATTTATAGAATAAGAGAACAAGGACCCTGGGCTTACCTGCTTATGAGATTCAGTTGTTGCTGACCTCTTATATGGCCTTTCTTCAACTCCAAAACCAGGGATCCACATGTTCCAGTTTTTCTCTGAAACACACATTCATATATATGTATGTACAGAATGATTTTCATCAATTTTTACTTTTCAATATATTAAGTCAGCACTTGTCAAATTGAAGTCTGTGAGTCATATCCGATATTTCATAAAAATGTAAAAAACTGTAATTCGACAAATAAAAAATATTTTTGTAAAATTAAATTTACAAGAATTAAAATATTCAATTTTGGAATACAGCTTTTCATGTATACAGAATCCATTTTTTCTAAATAAAAAACTGAGATTTGGGGATCCATGACAAAATTATATATTTAAAGGGATCCTTGGGTTACTACAGTCTTAGAACTACTGTACTAAATTATGTTATATTTCACTTTCAAATATTACATATTTTAATTTATGTTGTAAGTTTATTTCTGTTTGTAAGTTCAAAAACTTTATTTTTAACATGCTTGGTGGTATAAAGTACAACCTGTGTTTATTATATTTATTTCTAATATAGCTCTAATCACATTAAAACTTGTTATTACCCAAAGTAAGCTGTACATCTTTTACATCCAAAGTCGATGACCTGCGATGTTTAGCCAAAAGGCATGATGATGTCACCACATTCTCAATAAAATCATCAGCAATTTGAAGCAAAAGCTACAAAAATATTATTAGTATAAGGATATCTGACATCATAAGCAATAAGTAAGAGATAAAACTGGTAATTAATTTTTGAATTTGAATACCTTATTTCATAAATACAGTCTTCCATATTATGGTGAATCTTTGTTTTTGTACACTGATGTAAAATATAATGAATAAATTCCAGTTATTCTTTCTTTCATTATTTTCACATTATTCTTTGTAATTCTGAGGGTCAAATCCAGAGTTTCTTAATATGTTACAAATTTCCCCAATAGGACAAGACATGTATGCTGCATTTTATATTATACTTAAGCCACACTAAAGGGCTACTGGTTAACTGAGTTTCCACTTAAATTAGGCAGTGGGAAGCAACCATGAGTAAGTCTGGGATACTCTTGAATAAGCCATAGACAGATCTAAGTATCTTTTGGTTTTTTGAAAGCAGTTTCAATATTTCATATTAATATATATTAGTTAGCTGTAGGAGTTAATTTCATATCATATAATATTTCACAACTTTCTTAAATGATCAAAACTAATGGTTAATATACAATACCAGAAAGTAAGGTATTTTTTTACTCATATTTAAAAATATACATGTATATCCATCTTTACTGTATTTGCATCCAGAAATTATTTTCTCTTCTTTATGTTGATGGAATTACTTTGAGAAATTATATTGTTTCAGTTGTCATATTAACAATATATTGAAATCAAAGATAGCTATAATAGAAAATTTAGTTTAAAATCAAACTGAATAACTACACATCTTGTTTCAATTATGTTCCATTAGTATTTTGTACTTGGGTATAAAGTATGTAAATTTCAGTCTTATGACCTCTTAGCCCTAAAAATTACCTATGGCGATACGAAACTACAAATACACGTGTAAAAGTTTATGATTAATCAAAAACATACTTCTTCAACATCTTCATCTAATTGCTCATTAGGATCCACTTCTCTAACCAGGTCCTGTAACCTTTGCTTGTTCAGTACCTGGAGAGTGAAAAAATAGAGTAAATGTTGTTTAACTCATTAATTATCAAACTAAGATAGAGCTGCTTGCCAAAACTTGAATACCATAATACGTGAACATCAAAATTTATGTGATGCTCATGCATAAGAAAAGGTGGAATGAAGTTATTTTTACAGCATCCAGAGTGTATTATAAAAATGTTATACATATTATTATTATTATTATTATTATAGAGAAATAATTTAATTCCTAATGGATTAATATTCAACTTTGGTTTCAGTTTCTCGATAGCTAAAGTTTCTTTGAATCTTACATCTTGTTCATTGTTGGAACATATACTTTCATCTGCAGCCACGTCACATTTTTGGTCTAGATGTCTGACAAATTACCAGCCTTAAGCTTCAAGCGTTCTTTTATACACTGCTCTAAGCAACATGTTGTTGACTGAACATAATTTCATCCACATCGAGAACAAACATATTGATAAATAATATAACAGCACTGAAGCTTATTAACTGTCCTTTATCTTGAAAAGTTCTATACTCTTGACAAAGACTTCTACGCACACACTGATTTGATTTTTTAAACCATAACAATCTTTACCAATAAAAGGGAGAATGATGTATAATGACAGTTTTGGAACACCATAGCTCACTTTACAAGAAGTGTACTAACATTTAAGAAACATTTCAAAATGTTGAGTAATAACAGATAAAAACCATTTCTTAATAGTTTTTATATCACACTTTTCATTTCTTTTTGAAAATAATGACAGTTACTGGCAATTTATAACCTACAGAATAAGATATTTATCAAATTATCCTTCTATGTAACAGGTATAAGACTATCAATATGACTAAACAATCCTTTATATGTTTATGACACATTCCCATTTCTAAATGATACAAGTTGTTAGTATCAACATCTATAAAAGGCAAATTTCAAGTATTTTCTTTTTCAACTATAAACTTCATACAATAATGTTATTTGTTTAACACCCAGAATGCTGAATAATCAGAAAATATTTGGGAATTGGCCAGTGTTTATTGTATTACGATTCTCAATGCACCAAATGATTTCTTGCTATGTCCAGAATCAAAAGAGACCTTCAACACATCCATAGTTATAGTAATTAAGGAGCCATGTCTGCAGAATCCACCTTCCAGTCCCCATCTACAATCTGACAAAAAAAAAAAACTACAATACAAAAAAAAAGCCTCATCTTTATACTGTAAAAGAACAGTTTTAATAATGAAGATGGCTGAGGAAGCAAATTGTTTTGTGGATTGATTGCAGTGAAACTAGGATGCAAGAGAGGCCATTCTGTGAAAATTTGGGATTCATAACAAAGCTGTGCAACTCAAATAGGTCAACACACAATCAGTGTTCTCTGACAAGGGCTACAACATACCTATATATTTATTAAAACAAAATGCCAGAATGACATTACCACAACTCATCAATGAAATACATAACAATGAAAGTGAGAAGCAGCATGCATAAGAGGAGCAGCAGCAGACTGATGAACAATGTGGAAGAGTAGTAGTTCCACTTCTTTTAGATAGAGAAGAACTAGAATGCTATAGAGATGAGATTCACAATAATGAGAGCATGAAACAATACAGTGAAATGAACTAACAAGACCATAACAAGCAGAGTAGTATTAGAGACTGTAGCAAGCCACTCTCCTTTCCTTTAACTTTCTTTTTGTTATTAAAGGGAAATAGAATGCCACAGGACAGATGCACTTGTCATATGATCAGTCAATTACATATTTCCCTTTGATTACAACCCAATCAGGATCATGTTTAAGGTTGACATTATTTGTGGCCAATCATACTGGTAAAGTGATGTAGCCAACCCCCGATAGTTACATCTTTAAAGCTTAGGTTCTGTGGAAATATGTGCAACCATCTGGAAAACTCTGGCTGTCTGAGCTTAATGTATTAAGTGCAATCACTTTTTCTGTAATTGAAACACCTGATAAACTTTTGCCCCTCCCATACCTCCAAACACTCACAATATCCTTCTAGTTGACTTGCATATTGGGCACTAAATATTAAGAATAGATTCATGTTCTTGTTTCTTAAAAATAACAAAGGTATCATCAACATAGCTAAGGTCTCTAACAGGTTTAAAGTATTCAACCACTGTTTTTCAGAATAACATTTTAAAAGGATTTACTAAACTACATGAGCTTTTGAGCCCATAGAAACACCATGTACTTGATCATAAATACTGTTCTCAAATTTGAAGCAAGATTTTTCAACAGGAAAGTTTAATAACTCATTTTGAAAAAACAAATCTTCTGCTATTTGGATTACTTCCTGCAAAGGATGTGTGTGTACAAGGATTATGTATTAAAACTTTCACAATATACTTGTTCATCAAATCTTAAATCTGCCAACTGCACAGAGATTTCAAAACTAGTTGTGTATTATTATTTTCAAATACTTTAAGAAAAAGAGTTTAAAAACCCTACATGTTTCTAGTTATAAATTATAAGTTATAAATTATTTTTATGAATTATTGTAAACCATACAAAATACCATAACGAGAGCCTTGTATGCTGTATCACTAATAACTTTAACTTCATCTTTATTTTTAAGAAACATCCATGCTATTGACCTTTTCTTGGGGGGGGAGTCAAAATTAAGTTTTCTAAACTTAGTTACATCAAATGTTACTGTAATTACTTTTATTTGCATATTTTTCTTTGTTCAAAATAACTATGTTATTCCCTTATGTGACTTAACTACAAATATTTCTTTATTTTGATTTAAATGATTTATATGAATAAATATGAGCTAAGGCCAACCAAGACACTTATATTACAATACTATTAAAATTTCTCCCATAAAAAGGACTATACTTTAGTTTCCTCAAGTTTTTCAAAACATACAAAAAAATCAAAATTTCCAGGAGCTATTGAAAATATTCATCTACTAGAAAAGTTATGCATTACTTTATCTGGATCATCAATGAACATTCTAATAATACCTTCTATTATGTTTAAATGACTTAGTTTCTTCAAATGGTTCAATCTAATTTGTCTTAATTTGTTATTTGTTGTTATTTCTATAAATGATTTAAAGTAATCAAAATCAAATCAGGATGATGAAATTTGAATTATTTCCTAAGCAAACCAAAAGTTCTAATTTTTTTTATTGTGTCTACTTTCATATTCTATAACATTATTCAAAACTTCTACTGTGCTTTATAATAGTGGTTACTATTTCTGTGTGTTAAAAAGTATTAAAAGAAACTTTGGTAACAATTTCGATCTTTTACATGAATTCATAAATCCAAAATGTAACCCCTTCTTTAATATATTAAGATAAACTTTTTCAAAATTTTTAAAATATATTTATTATATCTCATCTTTAAGGTATCTGCAATAGAAGAACAGTTTTATGTATTTTTATAATAAGCATAAAAACTCAACAAAAGACAGTATAACACTATTGTTCTAAATGACATATCATCAATACCGAAATTGCTTTTCTGAAAATCAAGGAATTGTAGTTTGATATTCCACAAACACTTATAACTCAAACATTACTTACATTATTCTTTACTCAGTAAAGAAACGTTCAAAGGCTATAATTTTCTGACTGTTCAAGTTTCAAAATATATATGATATTCACATGGTATTAGTTACCATTATTAGATGTTACATGGTTCTAAAATTCTAGTGATGTTAAATTTGCAGAAGTAAAACTTTAGCTTAAAGAATGATATTCTATCTAGTAAATTTTACTGGCATAAGTAAAAGTCTACTGTGTAGAAATATAAGTGTCTTACTTTTACTAGACTAAAAGTATTGCACCTAAAGAAATAATAATGATTAATTTCAATGTTTTAAGTAAAAACTTGTATCTACAGATATTGGTAGAAATCACTACATACATGCAACAGTGTGGATATTTAGAGAAGTTCAAAACAATATAATTTTCAAAATCTGAAGTTATGCTATATGAAATAAACACTTTTAAACATTTAAACACCTGCAACACAAGCCAGCCTGGCATCTTGATGTGGATCTGAAAGGAAACATCAATCCAGAAAGGTCTGGATTGTTTTGATTAGACAAAAAGACAACGTTTGGCACTATTTTTGAGGTCTAGGTCATTGGACCAGACTTGTCACCTAACCTGAGACCATGAGAGCTAACATGGAAAAGTGAAATTCTAAAGGTAAAGTAAAACAATGTAGCAATGATACATGCTTTACATGTTCAAGATACAGTTGTGAATGTGATGGTTTAAGTGTAACATTTAAGCTAAACTGTGGGTCCACATTGGATGAGGAAAGTACTTATTTGAAAATATACCATTCAATTTGACATACCAGCTGAATCAGATATTAATCAATTGATTACTACATTAACAGCAAAACATAAGAAAATGGGCAAAATAGTATCAACTTAAAAAAGGGGGATTGGAATCATATACAAGAAATCATTAATTTCAATATTTTGTGAAACTAATGGCATGATACATTACACGATGATTTCTCTAGCAATTCTTTAGGTAAAAATATCATTTCTGCAATGAAGAATAACCATAATGAGGATGGTATGATAGCCAGAATAGCACCACCATGGTATAATCCATATAGATTTCATCATATCATAATTTCATTAATATTTAGTTGTTTTGTTTTTTCAGTTTAGAAGTTGTGCCAATCTTCATTCATCCAGATCTATTGAAATAACCCTAAATCAACAGTTTCCAGAATGACCACCCTCATTAGCTTAGTACTAATAGATGCTGGATAGGCTCGTGTGGCATGTGTTCAAATTTAATACAAATTCAAAATAGTGTGGTCACGAAGCTTTCTATTTTTACCAAATCTTAAAATAATGTTATGCCTGTTCTTATCTTACCTAGGGCCCTTGTATTAGTTTTTCCAAACATGTGTATAAATTATTACCTTATTCAAGTCCCTTGGGTGGGCTTATGCAAAAATTTGTATAAACTACTATCTTACCCAGATTTCTTGCACTGGTTTGCCCAGA